GTCTAATAATATTATGATTAGTTTTGGAGTAACAACTAAATTAAACTGATAAAACACGAAATTTAAGCGAAAAAAATGTTGCACAATCGAATGGAGATCATATTTTACGACACATTGCTTCTATTGTTTAATAAAAAGTATCAAGTCCTTAATGGAAGCTAAGCTTCAAGCACTCACACTGTGATATTGATTTAGGAAAATAGCTATGAATATGTGGTTAGACACGATCTCATAATTTTTATAAAAGTGGATATGTGATGATCACAGAACACCCATAATGTAACATGACATAATATTACGCCTTTTATGCTCAAAGAGGTAGGCCTCTGCCTGCTTGTGCACATTACGGAACTTAATGCTTCTGTACAATGTAACACCCACATTTCACCATTTATATTATGAGTCGCATGTAATAGGGGATGAGCCTATCAGAATATACTGGGCACAATTCCAAACGCCGTGCTACTACTGAGCATGTTTTAAACCCAGAAGTACTTATCCTGACCCGGGAATCGAACCTGGAATTGAACTGCCGGGCAATGGTCTCCCTTGCTCGGCAGTCGCACTTGCGACCAGTCGGCCAACGAGGCAGTCCAGGCTGACAGGAACCCCTAATCAACTAGTTATTTTATTAGTTCCGTTGATAACGAAGATGACAGTATTTCCAAACACTGGACATAATTTCAAACCCTATACTAAAAATCGCAAAACTGAAAAGACGCAGTGATGTTCTAATAGTCTACTCAATTCTGAGACCGGAATCTAATTCTAATGATCTTATTATTAGCCCCACAAAATAATATTTAGACATGGATATAAATAACTTACCAAAGCAACAATATGCTAGCGTAGCTTAATTAGACAGTTACTGTATTTTATCCTTCAGGCGTAATTTTATGTGTATAAAATTATGATATGCTTCTTCTGTACCGTTATACTCTCGTTTAATTAATGTAAGTAGATCAAAATTTAGATAATGAAACATTAATCCTCATTGTGTAACCTCATTGTTTTGCTTTGTTAAAATAGGTACAAACTTTTCAGCACGTTTCTCGCTAACCAATAATGACCTAACTTTTTCCTATTTAGTTTTCATTGGCGATAAAGGAGAGAAAGGAGATAATGTAAGTACTTGTTGTAATGATTGCGGTAAAAATTTATTGTTGTACTCGTACTACACTTAGACGTCTTCTTAAGGGCAATCACCTCTTGATTATTTAGACCTTTGCCGATATTTTTAGCGCTTTTATCATCACCACTACAGTTCATATTATTATCTAACTGCCATGTTATGGCTTATAAAAATCTACTTCTAAGTCTTATTCTTGAGAAGTCGTTCTCTAAAACTACAATCCATCACGTCTCCTAACAAAATAAAAATACCAAAAACAAAACAAGCAAACGAATTAAGTACTCACTTGAAAGGCGAAACAAACATTTTTGTTCCGGACAATCCGAAGACTTTCCGAGTTTTTGGTACAAGTCTTACTAAACTTGGCGAAGATTTCATTAATCCGAGGGATCTCTGTCACCCTACCTTCCTCAACTTTGACGAAAGTTATAACTCAGGTCACGTACCTCGTTACATCGATATGTAGTAAAATTCGCGTGTTTTGCACAATCGTGAACAGAAATTGTTAGTGGAATTGGCTCAATAAACGAGAAAGATGCTATTTAGCATTACAACAAACTGTAATGTTTAAATGGCGTCCGTATTTCTGTAGACAGCTTGAATGATGTACCTTTCCGGCAAAGGACTTTATTCCATTTAAGCGTATTGTTGAATATTTTGAATGATAAAAAGAGACTATAAAAAGACGCTTTTAGAATACGTAATGTCGACGAGTACCGTCCCATTTGATAGGCTATAGCAATCCTATTAGATTAACCCTTTACTGACGAAGAATATTGGAAAAAATCTCGGATGCCTCAATCGAAAATTCCCTTTACACCACAAAACAATTTTGGCGACTTAATAAAAGTTTTGCCATTAGTAAATGCTCGTGGAATTGAAGATACTAAAAGAGATACTGACGGCAAAGAAGTTTAAGGATGGCGTCAATAAAATGAAGTCGTCAACTGGCTAGACTTTCGAAGACTGTTTAATAAAAACTGATTCTAGCAAAGTATAGTATACCTCTGACCTAGTTGTTGACACGCACTGACGATCGTTAGCGCACGTTTTTATTAAGGGCGGTTAACAGACCTACTATTCAAATCGAGCGTTAACGCGCTTATTATTGGACGGTGGCTTATGAAAGGTTCCATTGGCGCGTTACAACAACTTTATTGATGAAAATACCCACTATTTATTTTTTCTATTATGTTCTATCATATTTTGCACGCTCTTATTTAGGAAATAAATTGATATTGAAGTGCTTTTTTTCTAAATTAAAATGTGTTAGGTATTTATTTTTATAAACAGACTTAAAAGATATTTGTTTTTGACAGACGTTGGGGCCTGGACAATGCAGATGTAGTTTAAATGACATCTCACAAATTCTGGAAATAATGCCAGAATTAAAAGGTCCACCAGGCCCACAGGGGCCTACAGGAGCTGACGGTACTACTGGTGCTCCTGGGAAAACGGTGAGAATGCATACAGTTATCATTTTAATACATAGTTAATATCTTAGGATATCACTATCCCACTGATTTAAGATATTAATGTAGTCCTTTTAAAATAAGTAAAACAAAACTATATACCTAATTTTAATAGCTTTCACTGGCATGAGTCTGGAGTGAAATAGTCTAAAAACATTTAGTACTGAAATTTATTACAGCTACGTTTAGTAGGTATTTACTTATTTATGAAACAAATTGTTATATCTACTTCATATGTAAAAGGTAAGAAGTATGGGATTGGTAAAATTATATGCAAAAGACTAGTAACTTCAGTCTTGGAGTTATTTATTGACTGACATTAACGTTCGAGATTATCAAGGGAAATCTAGCTCTCTAAAATTGGGATCTCTGTGGATTAAAATATGAGGTTAATAAAAGATATGATTACACTCAAGGCGCAGAATTATAAGGCGGCAAGCTTAGCAAAAGCGGCAGCGGTTCAATAGCTACTATAATTGTGAAAATATACGTATGTTTTAATCTAGGTAGGTTTAACTTTTGTCAATTAGTATACAATATTAAGTACTTGAAATACCAAGAGCTTATATTTTTTTTAAAATCAATAATTCGAATAATTTTACATATTAACTTTCATATGAAAAATAAAATTGAAAAGAAGTGTAGCGTTTTAAATTTACTTTCCGTTTTTGTTTCACGTTTTTGTTTCAATATTGGGTGTTTCATAAAATTCACTACCAAGAATTGAGATAAACAAAAAAATAGATTGTAAAAATGTCAATATAGAAACAAATGTAATCAACGTTTTTCATAAAGATGGACGGCATTGTTACGTCAAACAATATTAATATAGATTTTCACGAGAATCGTTTATCTTTTAGTATATTACATTTTATTTGGAAACAGAGGAGTCAAAATGAGAGTCATAATTTGTGAGTGTGCGCCCTATATGAGGGTCTTATATTTTAATCTACTAAATCGATTACACTAAGCTGAATTTAGGATAAAAATATTTTTTACGTCATTCACGTATTTTCTATATTAATTTTAGTCACACGTTCTATAAAACAAATGATCTTGTCATCATCGAAAATTGGACCTAAAATGCACCCCTGGGAAATACTATTTAAACCGACGAAAGTGGCAATTGAAAACTTGGAGTTCGTGATTCAAGTTTTAAAAGCCTGTCAGTTTTTATTTTTCTGGTCGATCGGCTATTCGATGAGTATAGAAATGAAAGAAAATGTATTGAAGTAAATGGGAAAGCTCAGTTTACTGTATCAAATGCAACTTGAAGATCTCTACACTTTTACAACAATAGTTTAAAATGTTGATATCGATTATACTGCTGCCGCTATTCGCCATTCCTTTGTCTTTCATGTGAGCTTTAATCTTCTAAGTCTCGACGGTAACGAATGTAATCATTATACAAATATTACATATGTAATTAAGATTCAGTTATATGCTACGTTGTTATCATTAATGATGTAAATTACTCTGTTTCAGCGAAATTAATAAGTCTGTTGCCTTTAGAGATTTAGTGGGTAGGCAAAATATTAATTTTCAATTTCTACTTGGTAATAGTGGTATCTGAGTTATTCTGAATAATATTGGATTTAGAGCACTTTATGACATAAAAGAGAGATATAATTAGAAAACTCATTAAATCTAACAAATCAGCATTAACTTGTCACGAATATCTTCATCAGACCTCGCAGTTTTTCAGGGCCTTACAACAAATTGTAGTGATTTATAAACATGATATCACTATCTGATCCTCATTAATTAGATTCTAACTTTGTTTTCGCGGAATTTACTATTTTTCCGTCTCAGGGACAAATGGGTGAGTCGGGCCCGCCTGGGCCGGTGGGGCCAAAGGGAGATAGAGGAGAGAGGGGTGAGACTGGCGCACCAGGTTCCGAAGGTCAAACGGGGCCTAAAGGTGATCCTGGTTCAGATGGAGCACCCGGGCTACAGGGACCCCCTGGTCCACCTGGTCCACCAGCACCTATAACGTCAGCATTAATAGTGAGTAATTTTGTGTTTAGTAATATTTTTGTGGAATTATTGGAATCAAAAACTAGAATCACATTTTCATAAACATAACAGGATTGATTTTTACTACTTTACAATTTATTTTTTATCTCAGCCGGATTAAAAGAAATTAGATCATTTACTTGTAATAACCTCCTCGGATATTTCGTCCCACGTCTTTAACAAAATTTTAGAAAATTTTATTGGCAAAAGGGTTGTGTAGATTTTGGCAAAAGATTAATTACATCATTATCTGAATAAATTGGCTTCGCTCAGATGGATTTTTTCATGTTACCAAGCTGAAATCTTCTGTGATCTTGTATTAAATAACAACAAGGTTTAAAGCTATATTAATTAAGGTTTGCTTAATATCAAACAGGATATTAAGAATCAGAAATCTCAATTTTTGTATTCAAGTATCATTAATATTGATGAAATATAATTTAAGGGCCATCGTATTATGAATATTTCTCTTGATATTTAAGGCTAGAGTATGTCTGAAATATATTCGACTTTCACATTTCATTGTAACTACTGAATCCTTCTAGAATTCCCATGCATCGAGTGCAAATCCTGTTATAGGATTCATGTATGCGTGTTTCCTGATGTTGTCCGAAATTTAGATATTAGAAAATTATACAACTTTAAGCCTTTTATTCTTCAAAGATGCGCGATGTTTTATGTAGAAACTACTTTTCACTAGATATGTCAAAGATACCATAATATAATTAGGGGTTAATCTAATGTCATCCATCAGGCAAAGCTATTATTTAGGGTTATCAATTGATAGATCCTAGAGATGCTTATAAAATTTACTGCTAACAAAGACACGATAAAAAACTAGGAAGAACAAATTAAATTATCACAATCAATTACTTAGCATTTGATTCAAAGGCTTCATTTTATTTACCTAGAATTAAACAGATATAAATGACTGCAGCAAACTATCTGCGGAGTTGCGGAGTTGCGTGTTGAATGTGGGTAGAGTTTACCCACAGAAATTAGTTCAAACTGACCTTATGCTTTTAACTCGTATTCCTTCGTCTTACCACATTTTCTTTAGTGTAGAAGAGTTTCTTGTTTCAAGTGCAGGGTACGTAGTTTTTATTAAAGTGAATGGTTGAAGAAAGGCGTGTTAAGCTTGCTAATTTACTTGTAGTAAAGTTTCTATACAATATGGTGCTTGAGAATAGATTTATTATATAATGGTACGATTTGTGTTACGTTCATTACTTTTATGAATATGAAATTTAATTTGCGAGACCAATAGGAAGAGAGAATTAGTCATTTTCTCTTTTGGTAGCAAAAGCCATATTTTGGTCAATTCAGCTAATTTGGTGTAATTAAGTAAGTAACTACAATATAATAAGGCCATTCAAAACCTATGATTTGAAAAATGACAACTTAGTAGGCAACGATTATTTGATTCTTAACTCAAGCACTTCCATGTTTCAAAAGATTTATAACAAAAATATATATCATAGTAATACAATATCGTCGATCCTTTAAAGTTTAAAACATAGACAGGCTTTAAAGTTTAATATAACAATGAACACGCAACCTTATAAGTTATTTTATGTAAATATCCCAGCTATTTATCGGGGTTCCAATATATCAACTTCAATTTCTGATATGTAATTAGAATCTCTCGTAGCTTGATAAATTATTGTTGTTTCGGTTCAAGATTCATGTAAATTGATAAGGCTACTATGTACTATATTATAAGTTACATAGTTACCCATAAGTCCGGGCATTGTTTGTATTTTAATAGCGTAAATACGATGATCAGTATTTTTTTATATTACATTTTTAGTGTAATAAAACTAATATAATAATGTTTACTATATTTGATACATAACTTTATAACTATCGTAGTCAGCAAAGCAGTCATAATAGCAATGATGCCTACATCACCTGCATCATCAATAAATATGCCTAGTAACTATACTAGGCAAATTCTTTGACGCCTAACTGACGGTATTTCGTTATTTCCTTTTATCTTTCTCTTTTTATTCTCTGTGTTAGTTTTAGTTAATTACAAGTTGTATATATTTATTCATAATATTGTGTTAGGGCAGAGCTATATTTAGGCATCAACTGCCATACCCTTACAACATTAAATGAAAGCTGAATAGCGAGATGATCCATCTGGGTCTGATCTCATTACCACTAACAAAGAGGTCATCAACCCCATCATAAATTACATCACACAATTCCGTAAACTTTATTCAAACCCACAAGAATTAGGTAACAGCTACTATTATTTGTTCTTGCAACTTTTGTATACATTTCTAATCACCATGTCTTACGCAGGAATCAACGGGATTATACGGGTCTAGTAATCCTGGGATACTTGGAGAGAGGGGTCCAATGGGCCTCCCGGGTCCTCAAGGAGAAAGAGGATATCAAGGAAATAAAGGCGAGAGAGGATTACATGGCCCTAAAGGGGACAAAGGAGAAAGGGTGAGTGTTATCTGAATATGATATTGTTATGTGAACTATATTATTTATACCTCACGATTATGGACAAAAACTTTCATTGGTCATGTTTAAAAAGTCAATAGAACATTTTATAAATTCAACACTCAATAAAATGTAATTATGATCCGTATTGATTACGGTACAGGAGCATTCATTTGTATTTTTAATTTATGAATGTTTAAATTAAATCGAAAAGTAGTTACAGATTTTTCCGAATGAGATTACCCGCTCAATTAATTAGTTTATTGAAAAATTAATACCAATTTGCATGGTATAATATTGCTGTGTTAATTAAAATAATAAGCGAATGCAATTTAGCATTACAAAATAAACATTAAAATGTGATCGCTCAACATGTTATTATTTGATAACTTATTTAAAGTGGAAATATTGTAAGTAACTAATACGATACGATTTGTCGTAGTCGTAAGGTGAAAGAAACCTTATTTTATGAAGAACTGTTTTAGTTGATACATGGAATTGAGGGTGCGAATACAGAGTAGATATTAATAATCGGATTACCGGATTAGGACGGCTTATTGATTCAGATAAATCAATTATGTAATGTACCCTTTACTTAGGATCCGACAATGTGAACTTTGCGATGATAAAGTTACTAAACCTACTAGGAACATGACCAAAATAAAATTAGGGATACGTGCAGACAAACTGCGGCCATAGTTCATTTCACTGCCTCTATGATACCATGAAAATAGGTTATTAGTCTAGCTAAACTTCCCCCGACCATCCATCAAAACTTCTGCGGTTTACACAAAACTCTGTATACCCGAATAAGTCTGATATTTATGTCAAACTGAAACCACCTGAGCTCGCTGAGTTACTAAAACGTAACAGAAAATTTCCACTCCGTTACCTGTTACTCGAACAGCATTATTTTGCCTTCCCTGTTCACCAAATATTGTGTGTGTTATACACAACAAGCGGTATAGTTTCTACTTCCTCAATATTAATTTAGTACAGGCCTGCTTTACGTCACCTTACTAAAGAGAACAGCTCGGAAACACCCATAGAACTTTATGAGAACAACTAAATCAAAATAAAATCACACGGACCCCGTCGCCAAATTAGTAGGTATTCGGATAATAAACTTGGGACTAACGCAATAAGTGACGGTTTGACCCTCGTAACGCCATGTTATGTTACCTTCGACCCCTAAGCTCATAACTGCATTACAGGGCTACGTCGGCCTGAGAGGGCCACATGGCGCGAAGGGAGAGCGAGGCCAACCCGGGCGCGATGGCACGCCGGGCCTGCCGGGCCCTCACGGGCGCCCCGCCGAAAAAGGCGAAAAAGGTACAAACTAACTCAACCATCAAATTTTATGTTACTCTATGACCCATATTTATACGCGGGTAAAGCGTTCGCGAGATTTTTAGGGGTTTATAGTAACGATTTGGAAAATCTTTATTTCTTCGCGCAGTGAACCCTTTGGATTGGTTTTCGAGTGCTTGCACGCAGTTTATTTATTATTGTTGTTACTTTTTACGATCGTCTTGAGAGTTTTTGTTTTATTTCTGTATCGGATGTTTTTGGGTAGCGTAGGTATTATTTTTTGGGTTTGTACGTAAAGTTAACATATTGAAATAAATGTTTACGAAATTGGACAGGTGTGTTTTATGATGTCCATTTGTATAATCCGAACATTTTGAAGTGGTTTATCGCAAAAGCATTTATTTTTAGGTTTATCCTAGTTTTTTCTCGTCCCAGAAGGTACCCTTTGAGATAACATTAACTTGTATCTAATATTTAATCTTAATGTAGGTGCTCGCGGTCTTCCCGGCCCCCCAGGACCAGCCGTCCCAGTTATATCTGAAAACGCTATATCAACTGACGTCACGCGCACAGGTAAGTCATATTTCAACTCAATTTTGTATTTTCTATTTAGGTTATATCTAAGTAATGTTCGTGGTAATTTTCTTAAGATTTTGCTACAGCTGTATGCTAAATAATGTATGAATGTAAAGATAAAGTTTACCTAACATGCCCTAGACCAATTTTCTTATTTGTACAAAGCAGGATTTAATTAAATAATAAACCATATAAGGGTATATAACCTCATTTTTAGGTTACCTCATTAGTCTATGGATAATTTAATTAAAACACTATTATAGTTGATTCTGTACCACTAATTCATCTTAAGGCACTTCTAATACTAGTTATATGTCAACATAAATTTCTCAAATTTGGCATACTATATCAGTAAAACCAATTAGTTGATTATAGTTACTATTATACAATAGATTTATTATATAAGCACTAAATGGAATGACTGCCACGATCACGTAATGGTATAGTTCATTAATATTGGTTTAGACTTGACTAAATTCTGAATACATTTGCTTGCTGGCTTCGGTCGAAGCTAATTCATGTTTTGATGGACTAAAACATTGATAGGTTAGAATATTTAGTCTTAGGTTTCTGCCGTCTGTATTGCTAGTATTGTTGTGTTATGAATATTGCTTATCGGTATATAAAGAACCCATTTTGTGTAGTTCTATGTAAAAATTAAAGTATTTAATAACAAAAACACCAATCCATTATCACTACACTAATAGCGTAAATGTGAATATTTTTTATTGACTTAAAATTATTATTTAAAAAGAATTTAAAATTAAATAAATAAATACAACTTAAAATATAAATTAAAATGTTATCTTAAGGCATCCATTTTTTTTTATAATAATTAGATACTATCGTTAGACATACTAAATTAACTAAAATCGCGCGTTACTCACGTGAATATACTGAGAAAAGTTCTTCTAGTTTCGTTCCACAGAGGGGATCTTCCTCATGAGCAGCGTGCGCGGTCACGGCGACGTTGCGCAGCCCACTCCTTAGCTTTTCTCAGTAGGTATCTCACCTGAGTATCCCGCGATTTTTGTTAATAAAAAATGTATTTAGTTGTTTGTATATTTGTCCGTTAATCACGCTGAAACTACCGTTGAATCGATTTTGATGAAATTTGGTATAGCGGAGTATGTGTGTAATATACTTAGGTCATAGAATACTTTATAATAAATACTCCCATGGGATAAAACAGGAATCATATTCTACGCGACAACCAGACATAAATATCGTTTTATCTTCTCGCATCTCAATTATGGTTCAGAATAATCAGTGTCGATCTTTATATTGTTTTGATTTAATATTGTTAGTGTAATCTAAACACAATCATCAATACCAAAATAATACCCCAAACAAAATTAAACGCAGAAACAAAAACAAAGCACAATTTCTCAAAACACTAATTATACGTTCGACTAATTATATATGTACAAACAAAAGAAAGCCTTTAATATTATGAATACTTCCTAAACATTTCTAGAACAGTGACTGGCGGGTCAACCTATCATTTCTATTCAATTTCCATATTACATTTACCACCTTACTATTTAGACTATAAAGTCGAAACTACAGTAAAAGAATTATATATTATAGATTGGGCTAAGTTGTCAACTGCCACAGCACCTAAACTGTTCACTTGTGTCTGTTTCGATTGATTAATAGTTAACACGACACTAGATAATTATCAATCAATCTATCAACTGATTAGTACCATTAAATTAATTATTCGTGCGAGTATTTTGGGTTAATATGCTTAGGTAAGAATGTTTGTTTTAGTCTATGCTATTAGACTATTTATATTATTTTTTGTTTGTGTTTAAATGAACATGATTGAAAGTACGATAGATATTTGGTCAACAAACTGTATTGTTTCTTATGAAATGAACCGGTAAACGAGCATACGGATCACCTGATGGTAAGCAATCTGCGTCGTCCATGGACACTCGGAACACCAGAGGCATTATAAATGTGTTACCGGCCTTTTCGGGATTAGGAATTTGAGGATTAATGCGGATTGGGTAGGGGGTCCATAATTGGGCCTCTGGTAACCTCACTCATACGACGAAACACAAAGCAAGCATAGTATCATTACAATATTAAAAGCTTATAGCGATTACAGTATTAAAATACTAGTTTGCTAGAGGTATATATTATTTGGAGATAATTAGCAAAGCATTTGCAACAATTTAAATATATATACCTCTAGTATTTCCTACAATTGTGTAAAAAGTGGATGCATGATATAGTAACAATACTGGTACCTATTTAGGGGATAACAGATAAAAATAAACCTTCGATTACACTCAATAATCGCACTTATAACAACTAGAAATTAATAAACGGGTACAATGACCTATATTCAATTGATATCGTAAAATGAGCGCGCCTGTATCACTGGGATAAGGCCATCTATTATCTATTGCCATCGCCACATTAATCATCTTCGTATGAACATCAGTTTATACTGAATGGTCGGTATTAGCTCATTTATAATACTGGTCGAACCGTTTCTGTATACTGGGGTTGAACAGCTTAGTGATCTATTTCTAGGTTTAGAATGTCTTGTTGATAAAGTATGTAGGAATATAGGAAGCACTTATTCTTTAGTACGTAACAGATAAGTATCAGTTACATTACTATAGAGTACGCACCGTTTTGTTAGACGTATCAAACTCAAAATTGTCAAAAATACGTATTAAAATAATCTTTGTTCACATTAGGATTTTCTCCTGTGTCGTGTGCCTCTACAAACATACAAATTCACATACACATCACACTGATACCAGAGATTTTTGTTAAATACTAAGTTTTATTCATCATGATTGACGCATTTTAACATAAAAATTTAACAATAGTATATATTATTTCTACCAAAACGAACCAAAAAATATCTTTATACAAGTTTTCATGAAAACTAAAATTATAGTAACGTTTCGACTGCCCAACATCCCAACGAATCTTAGCTAAATAATTTATTATCTGACTTGTGGGAATCAACAGAAACTGTGTTAATCCAAGTCGAATTTAAACAATTTTAAATCAAGACAAAACTACACATTGTGAACTGTCTAAGCACTACATTTTAATCAACATAAATAGTGTTTGCTGTCATTCTTATTGGTTTTAGTAGCATTTAATTAATAGAAAATGGATTAACACTGGGTAGGACAGTCGTGGTGTCTTGAAAGATAGGATGTCTGTGATATTTAAAACTAAACGGTATCTAATCCGAATAGAAGTCAATTTCGTTTAAGTTATTTAAGAACATAATGTTTCCTAAAAGATATACGCATATTCACAATGCAAAAAAAATAAGCAAATACAAGAAGAATACAAACAGTTTACGGAAAAGAAATAAGGTTTACTTCTGTTTTGTCTTGATTAGTAAAGTTAACTAACCTAATGAACAGTAAAGATTTGCTTTTGTTACTTCCATGTGGACGTCAGGGTAAACAAATTCCATGAAGTCCCTCAGTATAAGGGGTGACCAAAATGAACTTCCAAAGTTCTAATAACCACTCTTTGTGTGTCTTATAACTTGCAGTAAGGGTAGAAAGAAAATCTGATTCTTTAGCAACAAACGTAAACCACACATTGTGTTTCCCTTTTCAGGGAAAACAACTTATTTTTTTTAGTAAACAAAACCAAATAATTATTGTTTTTCGTTTTACTCAAGTAATTATTAGATGAGGATCTGAACTTTAATAGTAATTCTTTTCTTTATTCATATACCAATATCTAAATACATTAAGCTATGTTTCCTAAACTAGGCGTTGCCTATATTTCAGGAGGCAGTTGCAGGAACTAGTTTCAAGCCGTACTAGAGGCGCATATTCATGATCAGAATTCTGCGACGCACGACGCGGTGACTATCACTGCTAATATAATTCATTTAGTATGTTTCATGAATGTTATAATACAAAAAACCAAATAAGGTAATACAAACCCTTTAATCTAAAGTTCATAACCTCTTGCTACGTCCTTGAATTTCAATACCTTTCTTCCGTAAAACACATTCAATATTCATACAAGTCAATGACACACTTTGAACCATCAACATTCACCCATAATTATGTGAAACAAACGATATTTTACTCTATCACAACTTTGTGTGAAGGACGCGGAAAATAATTACTGTTGAAAACAGACAAAACGTTTAAAACATTAATTTCTAAGTCACTAATTAAGTTCCCTTCTAATGGAGCGCTCAGATGGGGGGAGTTTTCAGAGAGACTTTAGAAGGAACGGCTTTTTACAGAGTACATACATCAATTCTTTAATAATTATTTTACATTTTGATAAGTAGGTGTTATACAGCATGGATGCTAAGACATTCTGATACTTGTGGATATTATTGGACTATCTTTGTAGGTACATATTTGCTTTGAGCAAACGCAATAGGTACTCATTGCTTGGTACTCATTGATTCCGTGACAGAAAAAGTGAATTCTCAGAAATAATTAGAAGCTGATGATGATGAAGTAATTTTTTTTTCTTTATTTCGCCTAATAAGCTGCCCACGTTTGTCATTAGGATAATTTAATTTCAAAATTATTAGTATATCAAAATTTGAGTGTCATGCGACCCGAGGTTAAGATGCCTGCTTTTCATGCATGAGGATTCGGATACGAAATCGCCAACCCGCAATGAGCAAGCATGGTGATTAATGTTCAAACCTTCTCCGTTTGAGAAGTTTTGCTCAGGAGTGGGCACTTATAGGCTGATAATATAGCGTGAATTTGAACTTGCATGTAAAGTACACAGAAACCAGCTTAATCTATATCTCAAGAAAGGCAATCTTTTTTTATGGGTTAAGCCGGTAAACGAGCATACGGATCACCTGAAAATCAGCAATCGGCGTCGCCTATGGACACCTGAAACACCAGGGGCGTTACAAATGCGTTACCGGCCTTTTGGGAATTGGGATTGCGGATTGTGGGGGATTCAGGGATTGGGGAGACTGGGGAGAGGGGGTACTTAAGCTCTTATTATTACAAGTTATTATAAAACTGTTTATGCGAAAATTTATTTCTAACTAGCTGACCCGACAAACTTCATACCGCCTAAAAATTTTTTCTCACCTTTTAAACCTTCCCTAGACTTCCACGAACCTATCAAGACCAAAATTAGCCAAATCAGTTCAGCCGTTCTCGAGTTTTAGCGAGACTAACGAACAGAAATTCATTTTTATTTATATAGATAGATAGATAATCTACGTATATAGACGGCATAGTTAAACAAAGAGATATGCGTAAAAGCAACTGACTTGCAACTATTTGTAAACAATGTTGCAACACTAAAGAGTATATTTTATTTCACAGTAAGGACTTACTTTTTTACGGTCATAATAAAATGCGAATAATGAACGTTCATTACTCGGTTCATGATAATGCATAATAGATATTTTATCTGAAAGGTTTTCAAAAATGTAAACGGCCATAACCTTTGCTTGACCCGAAATTCCTTGCGTCCCTCAACTGATGAGATAGTTAAATTATAACCTTTTGTTTAAACTTAAAATACATATATTATATCCTTATATACATAATTCTGATGTACGTGTGTATGTCATTGAAATCCTCCTAAACGGCTTGACCGATTTAAATAAATTTTTCTGTATGCGTTCAAGTGGCGCCCTGGATCGTTTAAATTCACAAATCAATCCGGCAGATGGCGTAGCAGTCGTTATCTAGGTTATTTATCCATACCTATTATTATATTATATGCAGGACAAAGTCTGTCGGGTCCGCTAGTATATACATATATAAACACTTTTTAATCAAAATAACAACACAATATTATCATTTCCCGAAGCAAATTTGGTGATTTGACAAATCTTAATAAAAGCGTCTAGTGATTTGAACAAATTCCAAAATTGGTTCAGTGAAATAATAAAGTTAAATGTTAGTGACAGAACCGAATTGCTACAAAACCGACTCCACGTTTCTCCAAATTCCTGTTTTTATCATATCACAGCGACATACACAATTAAATACATAATCTTAATCAAAATATACAGTAAACAAATCAATGATAATAATATCCAATTAAACAAGAGAACATAAATGTTAATCGCAAACGTAATTATGACAAATATTAATATTTCATAGAAATTAATGCCTGGTGTTTGATTTATAATCAAATACTTGTTTATTTGATACAATAATTTATGTCTAAAATTTTGGTGATAATATAGTCCATATTATGCAAGTTTCTGTCAAGTTTGATACCTATATCGTACCTAATAGTACTTAAAAATCAATTAAAATGCCTTCAATTAATAATTACATGTTGCTAGGCGTATCTTTAAACATAATGCGAGCTCACTACGACATAAACACAAGCACAAAATGTGACTAGGTAATCTATTCTGACAAAGAAGAAATCCGTAAACACACATAAACAAGATTTAACGCAATTAAAAATAAACCTACTCTGTCATGAGAATAAGCTCCTATTTCATATGTTTCGTTACATACTGAGAATAAATCAAATTATATTTCCACAGAAGCGGCGCTCTTGAAAGGCGGAAAGGGCGATAGAGGGGAGAAAGGAGACAAGGTAATTACACAAGCAAATAAAAACGAATTTTCGTCTAAAACACAATAATCAGAAGCAACGAAATATCTTCGTTTTCTTAGAAATCATTTTAATTATGCCTTGTCAGGGATTTACGTACGCAAATTCTTTATAAATGGTATTGAGTAAATTACAAGAACTACTTTTTAAAGGAATTATTAATGTTACTGTTACAAAGCTTTCCTGAAAACGTGATTTATTTTCGGTCTACTAGCTGAAGCGTCTCCGCAGTTGTATGAGCGAATCCTCATTCGCTCATACAACTATATTAATACAGATTTTTTTTGTCGATTTCTCATACAGGGTTTATCTCTACATTGGAAATAGTGTTTAAAAAAAATCATTGTTAAAAATTATTCTATATATATCGTAAGAAATGCGTTTCTGAGTAAACTTACCAATAATTTCAAAAACGTCATGAAAAGATTGATGACTGTTAATGAAGCGAAAGAGGTATGTAGGAATCGTAGCAATTGGCGTTCCATAGTCTCTGCCTACACTCATGGGAGACAGGCGTGAAGTTATGTAATTATGTATGTATATACTTTCAAAAACTTTCGTTTCATCAATTCCCTTAAAAATTAAAACTGGTTTATAGAAGGTCAAAATGTCCTATCCATCAATTAATTGAAATACTTAATTTAGGGCGAAAAAGGTCTTCGAGGGATGGAAGGTGCCCAAGGCTTTCCGGGGACAGATGGCAAACCAGGGGAACGTGGTGATATCGGCCCATCTGGTTTACCTGGGACCCAAGGTCCTCCTGGTTTGAACGGGCCAAAAGGTGACAAAGGAGAAGCCGGTCCACCTGGACCAGTGGCATTATCAAGAGATGAAGCGTTGGTGCTAACGAAGGTAAAGTGTCATGTCATTTATTCTATGACTGATAATAATATATATTCACGAATTGGATACCCCATAATAATAGACAGAAGGACTTACATATACTATAGATCACACACACTTAATGAGACTTGACCTACGACCACTCAACCCTCGGTAAATAATGCCAGACTTTGATCTTTTAACAATACCACTAATAAAATGGGTTAATTAATATACTACAACCTTTTTCTGAGTATAATAAACACTTTTCTGAAAACCGCATCAAAATTGGTTCAGCCATTCCCGAGATAATTGCGCTCAAACATACATACACCAACAAACTGAGAACCTCTTTCTTTTTTGAAGTAGGTTAAAAACTCATATCGACATTCATTCCTACAAACACCAGAACCTCTAAACATATTTCCGGTACACCGTAACATGGTATTGTTTCAAAATATTAATTAGAATATACACAGTAGATGATTAATGTTCAAAGCTAAGAGCAAAGTCTTGTACATGTTGAATATGTACTACAGAACAAACGTTACAAGATTCATAAGTTACAAGCTTATGCCCGTGACTTTGTACCTGTATATTATAGGTTTCCCATTTTTCATTATGCGTGATAATTTCTTCCGTCAGTGTTCCTTTAGAGGTCCCTGTAGGATCATGTTACTTAATGAAAATTTCATGAATAGATATTTAAGCCTCACAAAAAACAGACATGCAACAACGCTTGCGTTGTGTTTTGCCGTGTGAGTGAGATTACCGGACATCCGAATACCCTCCCCCCCCCTTCCCAATTTCCCCAATCCCTGAATTCCTAAAATTCCTCAAATTCCTAATCCCCATAAGGCCAGTAACGCAATTGTAACGGCACTGGTGTACCGAGTGTGCATGGGCGACGCCGATTGCTTATCATCAGGTGATCCGTCTGCTCGTTTACCGGCTTATTCCATATGAAAACCAGTACTTTAACTGAGCTTTGACTTTCAGTCAGTGAGTCACTCGTCAAAGCATAAACAGCTTTACATTATTATTTCAAGTACTAAATGATAGCTTTTCTCTAACACAGGGTGATAAAGGTGATACAGGGCCTAGGGGTAAACGTGGACATCCTGGTCCACCTGGACCTCGAGGGCCACCTGGTCTTCCTGGACCACCTGGGACTCCTGGCAGCAATGGAAGACTTGGAGATATAGGGCTGCCAGGGTGGACGGTAAGATACATATTTTTAGGATAAGATAATAGGTATATATTGCTAGTGAGAATGTAGATTTTTTTAAGTATAATTAATGCGTCATGTATGTCATCTGTTTCACAGTCAGTACGAAACCTTTTATTCTCTCTTTCTATTGAAAAAGAAAGGAAATCTGCGTTTTACAAGACAAAATTTTGTTACAACTAACTCTTAAAGTGCGTGAATTTCTCAAGTGAAAATTATGTTATTTTTTCGGTTTCATACCTTTAGTACTAGTTTAGTAATATTTATCTGTAAATATTACTGAACTAGTACAGTTTATTATTGCCATCACATTTCAAACTATTCCCATTTCATATATTTAATTGAATTTAGAACGCACTTGAGTATCTTCAATTCTTCAGGTACCTAATCGTTGGGTAGGAATTCCCTTGAGGCCCAAATTTCGGATAAACCATAATTACAGTTATACATTTGACAGGGCGCGCCCGGGGCCGTCGGCCAGCCAGGCGCACCCGGCCCGAAAGGTGAAAAAGGAGACCCTGGCGGAACCCCACTTGACTTAGAAAAGGTAATTCCATATATCAGGTTAATTGGACAGTTGAGTATGTATGTTTTTCTCCTTCTTTACGAATGAAAGTAAACGTTATATTATAAGCCCACAGAATAGCTTCCAAGAAGTTGAATTTATCTATTGTTCGCTCATACATAAACTGTTTATTTTATTTGTTTTTTTATTTATTTAACACTTTTGTACAAATTTATACAATGGCGGACTTAATGCCGAATGACATTCTCTACCAGCCAACCATAGGGTGATGCAGAGATTAATATTTAGGTACTGAATAGAAAACCGACTTGATACTGAAAAATAACTGCTCTTGCTGTAGTAAAGCTAAAGAATAGCTTATACACTTGTACAGCTTTCTTACAAAGCCTTAATACTCTACGTCAGACTTTTAGGCAATTTGTTATTTAGGTAACTAGTTCGACCAAATTCAGAATCAAAAATATCCAGCCCAAAAACTACATAGGGGCTAGAATATGCAGTGTAAACTGCGCCCGTATGTGGCCAACAATCCGCTTTTGTTCCGTATTGACTAATACGAGCCTTTGGCTCTGGTTCCGAACAACCGTAGCCACTTAGTCTTTTATAGCGGATGAAGAGAATGGAGCACTAAAATATCGATACAGCCTACGCTGCAGTTCTCTAGCAAATTTCCCATATCAATAACGATGCCTTATAAAATATAAGTTTATAATACACATCAAACATCTGAAACTACGTGGTTGCACTTTTATTTTTCTCCTTAACTAAAGCGAACCGAACTAACAGAAGCTTTTTAATATTTTACAAACATCCCAGAAAACGCCGAAGTTTCTATAAACAAAACAGAAAAGCTAAAATGTTTAGTAAGTTTCTTCATGATTCTTGGAATTGCATTTTTGTGTTGCGCGTACTCTTAAAACTAAATATTGAGGGTAAGCAAAATGAAATACATAGTTTTTAATAAAAAGTTGGGTCTTTTGAAGATATAAATAGAAAATTAATTTGCTATTTAGGTAAAAGGTGAGAAAGGTGATCGAGGGTATGATGGGGCTCCTGGTCCGCCGGGCAAGGAGGGGCCTAGAGGCCCACCAGGACCGCCAGGATCCCCAGCAACTAATATCCAATACATGACCGTCCCCGGCCCCCCGGGGCCTCCGGGGCCACCAGGACCGCCCGGCGTGTATCCAAATGAAATGCCAGATACATTGACCGATAGCCCTGGAATTAATCGTCACGAACCTTCCGGAGGTGAGTAACATTTTTCAACATAGCTATATTTATATTACTCCATTTCCTATTTTTGTAAACTGCAAATGTATTTTGATTATAGCTTCCATAATAATAGTGTCTCGTCAAGCTGAAAATACTAGTCTATATAACTTCTTAACTGTACCAATATCACCCAAATGTAAAAACAACTATCCGCCGCAAAAGTAGACCGTATTAAAATATTTTGTTTGTTTTTTGAACAGGAAAACAACGCGATCCTCTACAAATTATAAGAAACTTGAACCATCTGGTACAATACCGCCAGGAGCAGTACGGTATGCAATAGTTTTTCACAAACACTTTTACCGGGAACTAAGTCGGGATTGTTTTTCTTATTTCAACTTTGAAACTCGCCGAGTTGAAAAATTCTTATTTACATTTTAATGTTGCAAAAAATTGGTTCGAAGTTAAATCCAGTCAAGTACTCTGTTACTAAGGATAGTTTATGAAAACAAATTGTTTTTCGTAGCGTTCCGAGATCCTTTGGACCCTCTTGGAGATTCGGGGGATTTTGAGGATGATGAAGATGGAAGAGCCATTGTCGGAACAATATTGTTCAAGACTACTGACTCTTTGATTCGGGTAAATTAACATTTTATCATAAGCCAGTAAAACTAAATAACATTCATTTTGTATAAGCTAAAAATAAACATTTATTTCCCATTAGCTCGGAACAAGCAGCCCACTAGGCACTTTGGCGTATGTCATTCAAGAGCAAGCGTTGCTAGTCCGGGTCAACAACGGCTGGCAGTATGTAGCTGTGAGTATAGTATTATTTATAGTTTCAACTAATAACTTCCAGCTTTCATTTAACAAACATTTTCATATTAAAGTGATAGGTTTCGATAAAACTGGTAACCTTATTTAAGATTAAAAATAATAAACACACTATGGGTCGAGGTTTAAAACTCCCGCTTCTCATGCATGAGGTAGGTTTATCGGTATTTATATGTATTTTCTAAGATTATTTAGCCACCACTGACAAACGGTGAAGGAAAACATCGTGAGGAACCTGGGCTTATAATTTTTAATTTTAAGTCGCCAACCCACATCGAGCAATCGTGGTGATTAATGTCAAACCTTCTCCGTATCGGAAAATGCTTTGCTCAGTAGTGGGCATTTATAGGCTGTTGATTATGATGATGATAATTATGGGCTCAAATTTAGTAATACTATACACGTAATAGTATCAGAAACTAAGGGTCAACCTTAAAATCAAGCCAAAACATCTCGAATCTTGGACGGAGACACTACGAGATTACCATACTTCACTGTCCATATTTAGTCATTTGGACAAAAAGCACCAGGGTATTCGAATATTATTTACTTTAGTAGTATATTAAATAAATGTATTAAAATGGGGTTAATTTTAGTAATTTCCTCTGCCAATAGACTGAAGTGGTATGCGTGGTAGTTAATATATGGTTGCGGTCTAATTTGAAACACCCGGTTTTAACACGACACGTAATGGAATATGAAATGAAATATGGAATTATTAACAAGCTAGAATAATTTACTTTGTACCCATTAGAATGTTTAAGTAATTGAAGAGAAGACTGCAATTATGAATAATTAAAAACTGATTAGAGAGCTTCAAGACCTCTAGGGTATTAAGAATTTTATGATTAATCAATTTCGTTATTATAAACAGACCTTTATTAGTTTCAGATTAATAAAATATCTATCCAACTTGTACTTAGTTAGATGGAAAACAAGCTTTTCAATATTCAATGAAATTGTTTAATCAATTTAAGATTTGACCTTGTAATCCTTGTAGCGGTTTCGTTGAGTTAAAACATTCTCTGTCATTGACAAAAGAAAATTTGATTTCTAAATATTATAGCCACGAGATTCGAGATCTTAAATATTCATGAATAATAAAGAAAATTTTCTTTTCCTTAACCTGTTGGGAATAAGAAACTCCTCCTTTATTCGGGTCTTGTTATTTGAAAGAAACTTATTCCTATTCCCACTGGATGTACATCTGAATGAGTTAACAATTTCATAAAATTTAAATTTGGATCTTAAAACGAGAGAGTAAAGCTCATAATTAATCGCTGAGAAGTGCTCGGGGGAATGTTTGTTTTCCCTCTTTGTATGGGGAAAGTCTAACCGTTATCTATACTTAAAGCGCATTCATCAATGTTTGGTGCCAGCCTCTAATTTCTCCTTTTCCTCATTTTCTTTTGCTGACAAAATTAATGAGGGCAAAAAATCAATGAATTAGCGAAGATATTTGAGAAAGTTCTGAGAAATGTTTGTTTTTGTTTAGATGGGCTCTTTGTTGGCTATCCACACCCCACCAGCCGGAGGACCCACTCGATCGCCTTTGCAGAACATTTTAGAGACTTCCAGTTTAGTGCACCATAAGAATCCAGCTATAGAGGGCCCTGTGGTAAGTTGTGTTTTTTTGTGTTTTTTTATGAACAAAATGTATATTAATTTCTATTTATTATCGATACTAATAATACCCAAATTGTGTCTTTAAATCTGCTGTTCTCTAAATTACAAAGATTTAAAGTCATCTTCAAGAATGTTGCACTAAAAGTCAACGTTTTACAAACAAAACATTTTGCTACACAAAAGCTTCAACAGAATCATGATTCAGCGTTTCAACCAACCGTCAGTCCGTGACCTTCCTGACATTACGCAATAGTTACTTCACTAAAAACATCCCTAAGTTTAAATAAATAATATTTGAGCAATTTGTGAAACCATTCTTTGTTCAGGTGGCATTAATAATTTTCGCTCTCTTGACAAGATTTATTCTATGAATCCTAGATTCCTTTGAGCCTAATGGAATCGCTTTTTATTCAGGACCGAGAATCAGGGAAAATAAAGTTGACACCTTTTTTGATGACAAATCTATTCTGTATTTTAATGTGACGTCTCTGGGACTTAAATGTAGTTCTACTCTGAATAATGTGTTTTCGTTTATGTAGTTACGCCTGGCAGCTCTCAATGAGCCTCATACAGGAGATATGCATGGAGTTAGCAGTAGTAACTATGAGTGCAGAAGACAATCTTTGAGAGCCAATATGGATGGCACATTTAGAGCCTTTATATCGTCTAGGTGAGTGGTTTTTGATTGACACAGTTAAAGTTATGTAACAGATTTTTATTCCCATTGTAAACTATTGACCATTTAATGTAAAGATTCTTGAACATTAATTTCTTTCTTCACTTTGTCATCTTATGCGGTATATTCACGAAAATATTTGAACGTTATGGGCTGTTGCGTATAACAAAGTACGAGACAAAGAAGGCTTTTGATCAACGAGCTGTATAAGTACTTTTATGTAACAATCAAGAAAATAAGGAAAAAAATAAACAAAATATCTGGTTATGATGTCAACGGCCCGTTTGTAGTTCATACGTTTTGTATCCTAATTATTGTTGGAATAAAATTATCTAATAGAAATGTTCAATATCTATTTTTTGTTAATAGGGTTCAAACAATAGACTCTATCGTAAGTTGGGTGGATAGAGAGATTCCTGTAGTGAATACGAGGGGCGATGTGCTGTTTAACTCGTGGGGTGAGATGTTCGACGGGTCAGGAGCCCTCTTCGCCCACGCTCCCCGGATTTACAGCTTCAGTGGACAAAATGTCCTTATGGATCCTGGATGGTGAGTACTTGAAAATCCTATCATATTCTTTAGTACAATCTTGACACTGCTATGAGAGAAAATAAATAAGATATGATGTCATTTTAAGTTCAATTGATGTAACTACTAGTTTATTTCTCAGTTGGTATTCCTTGACATTCTGTGATTTCTTCTATGTTGGAAATGTGCCTTAAATTAATCAAATAAATGAATAAAAACCATTTCTAAAACAGAATAGTTATGAATCAGTGATGAATATATTTCACATGGCAACTGTAGGTGATTTATATCTATCAAATAATTGCCAGGTTTTACTAACAAAGTTTGTGACAATTTCTCTAGAATGTAAAGTTCTTATTACAAAACTTGCTACTCAAAATTAGTTTCAAGTCATTTGATTAATTGAAAACTAATTTTGAGTAATGCTTAAGTTTTGAGTGAGGTTCTGTGTGCGGTGCTAAAGCTTTATTATTGAAGTGGTGCTCAATTTCAAACGAAAGTCGACGTGTCAGTCACTTAAAGGTGTAATTTACAAAGGTAGACGAATATTATTAATATTTTACTGAAATCGTGGATTTTTACACATATGCATCTATATATATTTATAATTGAAAAAAAAAATCAATTTAAAATATAGAAGATCCTATATTCTACGAATTTAGGATAAATGTATCTCAAACAATATTATTAATGTGTATTTTATGATTAGAATTAGTAAATTAATTAATAAATAAAGATTATAAAAAAAGAAATTTAGGTCAAGCGCGTTTCTTTTTAGTTTTTTCAATTTTAGGGTTACCGTGGGCATCATTTTGAAATCAAATGTTCAAATGTTCATTTTCGCCTATACCTTTGTTTGAAAATTGTAATGTTGGATATGATCTGTTCTACAATCCCATACAAAATTATGGTGTAATAACAGGTCCAACTAGAATCTCCTTTTTTTCGTTTTGAAATCGGTAACGAACATAATATTTCATTCTTTACTATCCACTAGGTACCATTTCTCTAAGATTGTAAAAACAATAACAATGATTTCCCGGAATCTCCAGTTCACTAAGCTCCCATTACGTAATTTGAAACAGAAAGTCGAAAGCCTGAAGATTTGATTAAACAAAACACTGCAGTACATTCGCTTACTAAATAAGTCGTTGACACAGATTCGGCGAAAAACACTATGACGAATTGGACATGAAAGAAAGAAAATTGCAGACTGAAAGGAAAACAGGTTCCAAGGAATCTGATAACCTAGAAATAAACTGCCTTATTTTCTTTGGCAATTTAGAAACGACTTGCAGTATTACTACTTAGGTACTGTTTCAATCTTTGAAACCAATACACTCAGACTAGTCAAACCTGGAATATTGTACTGCTCGTCGTGAAAATGAGAGTGTAAATGTTACAGCTTTCTTGGAATTGACAAGATATAGATTGGATTCGTATTCCCTTTATATTGGTTCGTTTTGTATGAATTTGGTACTATTTGATGTTTTTCTTAGAAGTTTGTGATTAGGAATGTTGAGTACAGCTTCACAATACTCAGAAAATAATTTATTACTATACAAGTAGTGTGTGTAGTCAGTCAATTTAATAGGATAGTTGCCAGGGAATGAAAATTAAAAATCTAATCAGTCAGTCAGTTAGATAATGAAAAAATATTTGATATGTTTTTTTTTATTTTATCGTATGAAGTTACAATATTTAGATAAAATAGAGTTAATTTTAGGAGTGGGAAGGTCGTTACGTCACTACATCACACGATATTTCAGATTGTTATATCGTCGAAAGTATTTAATTTTGTGAGAAAAGAAAAAAGTACGTGTCTAATGTTTTAAATTAATCTACCAGATAGACATTAAACAAAAATTTAGGCATCTACCCTATTACTGTAAAAGGTAATAAGTAATATCATTTACACCATTCGAAAATATTATTCAATAATCTTTTATGAAATAATTTTATGTTACTCTTAAAATAAAACAATAGTTTATTTGCAACTTCACTTTAATTTATATTATATTGAATAAATAATATAATATAATAAAGATCATTGAAAAACAAAGTCCACGTTCACTGAAAATTCTCAGTATTTCCAATTAAAAATGAGAGTAAGTTTCGGAGAAGGACGCCCTATCAATTTATTCAATCTCAGCGTAGATAATCCTCATGATCCCGCCAAAGAAATATGTACTTGGGGGGTAGGTTTCATTACTGATTGTAATGTCAGGGTATAACACAATTGTCACCATTACTTCTCCTACCGCGAGTTTTATAAGAGCCAACTAAGAGAGTGCATAATTTACCTAATAAAGAGCAGGTAGCAAAGTACTATTTTGTAAAGGAGGCCCATAATATATCAATCGAATCTCACAAGTTGTCGATATGTAATGGTGATTACTGATTACATACAAATAGGGATGATAAAGGGGTAGGGGTTATTTTGTCATATAAAAAAAAACAATACTTGTTAAATGAAACGTTTAAGAGTAGGAGTTAACTAGGTACGTCATGTCTACATATAAAACGTACCTAGAAGTGACGTCACGCGATATTTCAAATCAATGTATCGTCGAAAGTATTTGTTTTGGTAAGAAAATTAAAATTCGTGTCTAATGTTTTTAAAATAAAACACCAGATGGATATTAAAATAAAAATTAGTCATCTACCCTACTGCAGGCCACTGTCAAAGATAATCAAATAGTCAGTATTGCTGAAATTAATACTTAATTTACTTTAAAGAGAAGGTTTGGTCCTGGTATTTAAGCAACCTAAATAACTTAAACAAAGACTGGAATTCAGGCCACAAGAGGTAATTAATAAAGTTTAGTGTATGAACTAATTGTCACCGTGTTTATGAATAAAGTTGGTTATGAGTTCTGTTCTAATTATTATTTGAGGGATTAATGCGAATCAGGGTGTGGTGGTTTTGTTTTGAGCACTGATATTATGAACGCTGGTCGTTTAAATTGAATAAGAAAATTTTTTCATCATTATTTAAGGCGGGAAAATCATCGAATGACTGCTCCCGCCTGGGTGAGGCGGAAGGGGGTGTCAGACTCTTACTGACTAAAAACCACCCCGTTCCTTCTCCTGCACGTCGAGCCGGAGCCCCGGTTACCCGTTAGGTTCTCCGCGACATTATTAGAACACTAGCTGTTACCCGCGATTACGTTCGCGTGAAATTATTCATATTTCTTGTTAATTTATACTTTTTGACGCGACAACGTGTTGATTGGCTAGGCGTATTTGAGAGCTAGTATGAAACAGAACGTTTATTGTCTACTCAAGATGGCGACTGCGGTTTGTCTGTCAGTGTCATTAAAATGAATTAATAAAACGAAATAATCTCCATAATCCGAATTTTGCGGATATATGGTGTCGACTCGAAATCGATATTTTTTTTTTTGTTTTGTTATTAAGGTAATGTTTCGATCGAGTCTACCGAAATTATTAATATAGATAGATAGGTTGGTACAAGATAATTATCCACAAGTCGTTCATTACTGAACATTGGCATCGCCCAATGACATCAAATCGATTAGTTGGTAGCAACTCGAAATATATCTTGCCACTGACTACTGAAATTTTCAGACATTATCTGCTCTAAACCAGTAGGTGCAAGAAAATTTCTTTTTTCGGCTGCACATTTAACAAAATCATATCATTGAGACAGATTCACTCGTAACTTGAAATTGAATACCATTACTATATTTAAATTATACCATCTACAATAATTTGTTCTTTGGATTATATTTGTCAGATACCACATTTACTTCAATGAATTTTAATAATGAATGTCCAAATAATCTCTCTCTCAAGGGGTCTCGGGTTTGACTCCCGGGTCGAGCAAAGTATTACTGGGTTTTTAGCTCAGTAGTAGCGCACAGTATATAGCAATAGGCTCACCCCCTTTTACATGGGACTTATAAGATAAATAGTGAAACGTGGATGTTACATTGTACAGTGGCATATTGTCTACCCCTTCGGGGATAAAAGGCGTGATGTTATGTTATACTCATAATACGTTCGTTTCTCGTCTAACAAAACCAATATAATCTAAAGAACATTCGTGAAATGTTAACTTTTTGCGACTATTTTCTAATGTTCAATATCCATTGCGTTTAGGCCTACTAAAGCGGTGTGGCATGGCGCTAACCCGAATGGTGAACCAGCAATGGATGCGTACTGCGATGCTTGGCACAGCAGTAGTCCAGACAAGTTTGGGCTCGCGTCTTCGCTTCGCTCCAATAAGCTTTTAGACCAAGAAACGTAAGTGGTTTTGATATTTTCTTGTGAATATAAGATAAAAATCTTCCAGAATAAGAAACGTATTCACATTTGTTATTCTTTCAAAAAGAAACTCACTCAAGAATTATAGTAATCTTGAAAATAGACATGTAGTTTAAACAATATTAAACAGCTGTCAAAAGTTTGTATATTTACGTATATTATTCACATTGTTATTATCACTTAGTTATGTTTTTAGTCCAATTTAAAACCGGCTGGACACTTTGGCAATGCGTAGAGATGTAGCTTCATTGTGCATTTTCTATCGCTTATACCACGGGAGTGCTCTGAGGAATTGTTTGACCTGATACCTGCCGCATCTTTTCGCCATCGACCCTCACGACAGCATATGCATCCCCATCATATAAATGGTTGGCAGGCCACAACTGTGCGCTTTTCACGTAGCTTCCTGCCTCGCACAGCAAACCTTCAAGAAAAGAGCGTACTCCTTTTTAACAGGCCGGCAACGCACCTGCGACTCCTCTGGTATTGCGGGTGTCCATGGGCGGCGCTGATCGCTTACCATCAGGTGATCCGCCTGCTCGTTTGCCTCCTATTCCATAAAAAAACTACCTAGAAAAAATGAATGTTCAATCTAAAATTTTTTGGTGCGATGACCGGCTACAATTTACAGAGCAATTAATTGTTTGTGTAATCTACAAATTGCCGTTACAGATTTGTGTGTCATCTCATGTGTATGTGAACTTTTAAATGCAGCCACGACATATAAGAAAATCCCAGTGTGGGGAGCAACACGACAAATTCTAAAATTACTTATCGATTTTCCATAATATTATTAAAGTTCACATTCTAATATCACATCCTGGACCACCAAAAAATGACCAATAAAAAGAAATCACTAATATATATGTATATACATTTTTAATTTGCAGGATTAAAAAAATAAAATTGCTAAAATATATTTCTCTTCTACAGATATTCATGCAGTAGTAGACTAATAGTGTTATGCGTGGAAGCAACTCCTGTAGACACAGTAAGAAGAAAAAAACGATCGAAGTAAGTACAATAACACCTCTATAGCTTAAAAACTCAAACTCTATTTAGGTTTTGTTATAACAAAATCTTCATAATATTATTAAAGGAGGTTTGAACTTCCAGTGAAGCCTCGCTTTATAAAATACTGAAATAATACTAACTTTGTATAAAGTTATAAAAGTTTAAATAAATTTCTTTGAAACACATATTACAATATTATATTTATGGTACAGATATTTTCTTAATCAACTTATGTACATAGAAAATGTAGGATTTTGTAATCACGTAGTTAAACATAAAAATACTTTTCAAAATGTACTTTACATTAACTTCATATTTTTATTATTTATACATACAATTATACATTTATTTATAATTGATATATTATATTAAAGTCTATATATTAGATAGCTTACTGAGAAATATAAAGTCAAAACAAAATTCAGTTCTGCAATATTATTAGATAAAATTAATTTTACGAGTCACTGCTACCACAACAAACTTATATATTTTAACCGTCGTGAGACATACTAAATTAATTATTATGTTTCGGCTTACTCACATAATTATTTGACGAGGAACTCGACTAGTTTCAAGCCATGCTAGAGGCTCATATTCATGAGCAGCATTTCGCGACCCAGTAGCAGCGCGATAGTCGCCGCGTCGCGGGTCGCGGAATCCGACGAGTGTATTAGTAAGCCGAAAACATCACAACAAACATAATATATTTCTTTTAAAACCATTTTCTTATGTTGAACAAGAAAGGTATTAATATATCTATCCACCACCGGTATATTTATTCTCTAAACATTTTTCCTACAGGTACCACAACGCCTCAGAGAAAATGCAATTTTTAAATGATATCGAAGAAAGAAACGAAACTAGGCGAAAGTTATAGACATTGACTAGATATTGATATTAGTGTTTAAGTAAAAAAAAAAATGTGAAGACTGTAAATAAATTGTATGTAGATAAAATGTTCTCGTAAAGCAATGATTCCGGTGGAACATATCGACAATATTAATATCTCAAATAATATAAATGACGCATTTTTAGTACTATCAATCTGTTAAGCTTTGGTCGTACTTGTGTGGAACCGCGGCGGTGGAAACAAGCAACTGAATAGGAATACCCGCCTGCAGCTCTTGTTGTGATTTTGTCTCGTTCCAGATTTTCATACCGTAAAAAATACATAACATCACGCCTTTTATCTCTGAAGTTATAGTGGCCATTACGGCACCTAATGCCACTGCACAATGTAACAACCACTTATCACTATTTATGTCATGAGTCCCATATCATAGGGGGTGCCTATTGCCTTATATCGAGCACTATTCTAGACTCCATGCTACTATTGAGAAATTATTGAAAAGCCCTATAATACTTTGCTCGACTCTGGAATTGATCAAGGGGTCTGACGTCAGGCAAGGGCCCGGCAGTCGCTCTTGCGACCACTCGGCCAACAAGTTAGACAAAAATATTACGCGGTGAGAAACTGCCGCGGTTCCGCCGTAATGCGGCCAGGGCCTTATTTATTGTATAATAAAATTATAGGCTTCTGATTGTGGATTTTCCGTATGTATCTACTTATTTATTAGAATGCGTTTTAATCACAATACAATACATTAAATAATTTAAATCACATGTCGGTTCAGTCTCTACACTGCCATAAGACACCAAGTAAGAAATGGGACTTGTAGGTATTATTAGTGAGTTAGCTTTATCAGAGACTTATAGAGAACTTGTGAAAATAACCCTTAGTTAACAATGAAATAAAGTAAAGTATAGAATATCAAGTGAAAGCGATCGCATTACTGACGAATCTAGGTATATTGTCAGCCATTTTGATTGGCCATTTAATTGACAGTTCATTTCTGTGTTGCCAGAATTGTTACCATAACTCTCTATTAGTTTTACCTGTGCCAAAACCATATAATACTGTGAGATTTATAACATAACATAACGCCTTTTATCCCCGAAGGGGTTTTTTAAGGGGCGAAAATCATCGAATGACTGCCCCCGCCTGGGTGAGGCGGGAGGGAGTGTCAGACTCTTACTGACTAAAAACCACCCCGTTCCTTCTCCTGCACGTCGAGCCGGAGCCCCGGTTACCCGTTAGGTTCTCCGCGACTCCGAATCGGCATCGGCCCTATTGGGCCCCATCTGTGGTGGTCTGATGGCTCTATGAGGCGCGCGCGGAACGCGACGCGCCGTACGCTCGGGTCTGTTTCTGGTCGGACGGGGAGCCACCCATGCTCGCCGTCCGCAGGCCCGCGCTTACGGTGGCCGGAGGGACGGAGGGCCGGAAGGGGTAGGCATAGGTGCACATTATGCCACTGTACAATG